TTTTTATTAATAAGTAGTTGCTTATATTTAGCTAGTAAAATATTAGCTATATTATTTATAGTAGCTAGTTAAAATAGAAATCTTTAGTTTTTAAAGTAAAATATATACTAAGTAATTACTTTTTTTTTATTAAAAAAAGTTTTATACTATTAGGCTTAGTACTATATTGTAAAAGTATTTTTTTAAATTAATTACTAAGTATTCGCGTAGTAGCTTATTAAAAAAAATTATATTTTATTTTAAAGCTAAAATTATAAACTATATTTAATTTTTTTAGAAAAAATTATATATTATTATATTAAAACATTGCATTATATTATAAATATAAGTCCGGCCCGAGCTGCTCGTGTAAACTAAATTTTGTATTAATTATTTATATTTTCCCTACAGGAAACTTTATTAATTATTACTAACTAAGTAAATTGACAATAACAGGCACTAACTAACTAACTATAATAATAATAATAATAATAACAACAATAGCAGCTATAATGCAATATAATAGTTTTTTTAGCAGCATTCTTCTAATAATAATAGCATATGCAGCACTATTTTTACTCTTTCTATATTATTAATATAGTTAATTTTAATATTATTACTATTTAAGCTATGCTTGCTTCCCCCTAAAAGCAAGCTTTAAATTCTGCTTTTTTTTTATTAATTTTTTTTTTTTTTTTGCTAGCTTAGCAAGCGCACTTATTTATAAAAAAAAATTAATTATAGCTACTACTATAGCGTTGCTTAAATTAGCATGCCTAAGCAGCACTAAGTAAGTAAATTAGTAAATTTTAATAATTTTTATATTATTTATATAGGCTTTATACTTACTACTAGAAGCAGCAACAATTTAGATATTAGCAATATTAAAGTTTTTAATATAGAGCTTATCGACAGCTACAGCAAGGGCAAAAAAGCTCTCTAAAGTTAGTTACAAAAAATTAAGCTGCAAAAATTTAGATTTTTACCTAGGTAGGTAACTAAATTTGGCAAAAATACAGCTTTTATTGTTAGAAACTGCAGGATTTAACCTCAGTTCTACAGAAATAATTTAAATAAAAACTAGGTTATAACTTAGGTTTAACTTAGGTTTAAACATAGTAATTTGGATTTAATTAGACAATTATTAAACTTAGCTATATATCGGCTTTAGCTTTTTATTTTGTAATACCCCCCCTTTGTTTTTTTTATATTTTTTATTTAATAAAATAAGTTGAAGGAAGACTAAAACCGCTCAGGCAGCTATTTAATAATAAGACAATAGTACTATATACAATAAAATCTATGTGTTTATGCTAGTTTACTATATTAAGCTATATTTTAAAAAAGATATATTGTAGTGTATTACAAGCTGTTTATTTGCAGCTTGCAAAAAGTAGTTAATTTAATAAAAAGTACGCGATATACTTAGTTTATAGAAAAATATTATTATTTATATAAAATTTTTAAAAAAATATTTTTTTTTAGTAAGGAAAAAAATACCGCAAGCAGGGATAGTATTATATAGTATATCTAATAGCTTCTAAAGACGAAGATTTCTAACGCTATAAAAAGCAGAAAGCAAGAAGGCAGAAAGCAAAAAGGCAGAAAGTAAGAAAAAAAAGCAAAATATAAAGTGCAAAAGCAAAAAATTGTAAAAGTTTTATAAAAGTTTTATAGTAGCAATTTAGTAGTAGCAATTTTTTAGCATATAGTATATAAAATATTGCAGTTTTAAAGTGCTAGTTTCTAATAAAATCTTGCAATACTTTTTTAATAATAATAGTTATTTAATGCAATAATTAACGGTATTTAACGCAAAAGTAATTAAGAATAAAGCTTATTTTTATACTATAGCTTACTAAAAGTTAGCTTATTATATACTTATTAACTGTATATTGCTAACTATTGTATAAATGCTGTATATTTGCTTTTAATTATTAATAAAATAGACTTTAACTACTTAAATACTGCGACTATAGAGCGCAGGAGAAAAATTAGTATTAATAATAGCTAGCAAAAGCTAAATTTGCTAAAAGCGCTAAAGCTCTTTTAATCTTATATTAAAAACTTATATATTTAAAGTACGTAGTTATTGCAGCTATATAATAATATATTTAAACTGCTAAATTATTACAGAGCAGTTAAAATTACTAAATAAGTTTTTTTTTGTTAATTAGCAGTAAATGCTAGAAAAGCTAGCTAAAAAGCTAGCTAAAAAGCAGGCAATAAATACTAAAAAAAAATTTGTTATTAGTTTCTAGTAGTAGAAAAAGTTAGAAAAATACTTGCATATTAGTAAATAAATAGTTGTTATAATACGCAATGCAGTAGTACAGCAGTATAGTAGTATAAAAAAATTAAGTAGCACTTAGTGCTATAGGCCTAGTATTGCGCAGTATATTAGTAATTATTTTTATATAAGTAGCTAAGCTTATTATAAAATAATTATAAAAATAATAGCAGTAAATCGCAAAGTTTATTGCAGGGAATTTAGAGTATAAAGTATTTAATATTGCAGAATTTAGCAGTGCAGTAAAAAAGTTTAGCGCTGCTAAATATAATTTGTTCCTGCATTAGCTTAAGTATTAGTATTTTAACCTATAAAATTATAGTAATTGCAGTAATTATAGTATTATAGTATTATAATATTTATAATATTTATAATTGCAGTAGTCTGTATATTTTCTGCAATAGCTTAAGGCAGCCAAAAAGCTGCTAAAGCTTGGCTAGTTATTAATAATAAAATTAATGCGTAATAGTTTAATAAGGTCCCTATCTAGAAAACAACAAAATAAGTTATTATATTACTACTAATTAGGTAATAGATAAAGTACTAGACCACCTAACTACTAACGCAATAAAGTTAATAATAAGCACTAATATAATATAACTATAATTATAATAATATTATAGTTTTTTTGCTATTTTTTTACACTTTGTAAATGAACGCTAGGAACATTACTATTTATACTTAACTCTTACCCCCTTAAAAGCAAGTTTTAAACTTAGTTTTTTTTTTATTTTTTTTATTTTTTTTATTAGCAAGCTTTATAATAGTGTTTTACTGCTTTTAAATTATATTTTAGTACTTTTATTTAAGTATAAAAATTAATATTTTGTATTTAAATTAATAAATTTTTATAATTTTTTTACTATTAACGTAGGCTTTAAGCTTGCTAGTAGCATTATACTACTTAATTTTAATATTAGCAATACTAGTTGTATATATTAATTTAAATAACTCTTTTAGCTTTAAGTTATTAATGCGTAGTCTAGATATATACTAGCAGATTTTAGTAGCAGTAATAGCAATAATAATTAAATTGCTGCTAGTATAGAAAATTGCAGAGCAAAGGCTTAAAAACAATAGCTACTACTATAATAATTTATTTAAAATAATAATATAATAATTATTAAAAGTAGATATATTGTTGCGATAGACAATAGTAATAAACAATAGTAATAAATAATAGTAATAGACAATAGTAATAGATAGTTAGTAAAAATATAAATAAATAATATTTTTTAAATAAAGTAGCTGCTTAGCTGAAGATTTATAGCTTTTTAAAATATTTTTTAAAAAATTTAATAATAATAGCAATAGTACTAGCAATAACGGCGTTAACAATAATTATAATTATTATATTATAAATTACCTTACTAAGCTTAGTTTAAGGTAAAATTTTAGTAGTACTTTTAATAAGTAAATTTTTTTAAAAATAAGCTAGCTTTAGAAGCTTAGTGCTAGTCTGCTAAGCTTTAATTAAATTAAAGCTTTTATATTAACTTACTAATAATTAATAAAAACTAGTATTTTTGTGCAAACTTTTATTACACTTTTTTATATAATTATTAGTAGAAAAGTTTACTAGCTTTTAAGTAGCTTACTTTCTATATAATACCTATTTGTAATATATTAAAACTATATAATTAAACTTAGCTATATAATTAACTGAATTATTAAGGTTTTTAGAGCTGTAGAAGTTTTTCCTTAATAGGCTACAATATTTGAATTTAACTACAATTGTATAGCTGCAACAGCAGCTCAAGCCTCTATTTAAAAATATAGAGCTTTTTAAACTATAGTAGTAATTAGTAAAGCTAGTTATTAAAAGCAAGTTATAATTTAGCAGTTTATAAAGCAATAGATTTAATAGTACTAGTGCTAGTATTAGTAGTAGTTTAGAAAATTGCAAGGTGTAGGCAACAGAACAGCTTGTTTAAAACAAGAATATAGCAGTTATTAAAAATAAATATTATAGTTTTGCGGTCAACAATAAACAATAAATAGTAATAATAGTAGTAAATAAAAAATATAAACAATATTTTTTAAATAAAGTAGCTGCTTGCCTAAAGAGTTGTAGCCTTTTAAAATACTTTTTAAAAAGCTTAATAATAATAATAATAATAATAATAATAATAACTTATAGTTGTATTTTTACTAAGCTTAGCTTAAGGCAGAGTTAATAGTAGTACTTTTAATAAAGCTAGACTATTAAAGAATAAAAGCTAGTTCTTAAAATAGCGTTAGCATACTAAGCTTTTAGCTAGGCTATTATACTTATTAAGCTTAAGTATTAACTATTTATAATAAATAAAACTAGTATTTCTATGTATATTTATATTTTATTACGCTTTTTGTATATTTTTCTTTACTAGTAGAAGGGATTTACTAGTTTGTACTATTTGTGTCTATTTTATAATACTCTATTTTATTGTCTATATAAAACTCTATAAAAAAAATTATAAATATAATTTAAATTTTAATAAAATTTTAGCAAAGTGCGCAGCTTGCTTAGGCACGCAGCTTGCCTGTATAATATATTATAACTAATTTAACTAGGCAACTAGCTTAACTTTGTAGTACATTGTTAAATTTTAGTAAAATTTTGGTAAAGTACACAGCTTGCCTAAGCACGTAGCTTGCTTGTATAATATATTACTATATTATATAATCTGCTCTAGCGTTAACTTTACTTTTATTTATAGAAATAAAATTAGTAGTAGCTTAACTAGGGCGTAGGCGCTTTAAAGTCCTCTTATTAGAACTATATAATAGGCAAGAAGCCTTTAAATTAACCTTTGCCTCTTGTTACTATTAAGCTTATTGCGTCCGCCTAATCCTACGGATCTATACATTCCCAACTCCCAACAACATCTGGATTACCCTGACCCTTGTACTGATTACGCTTCGGGTACTTGCAGTGGGCGCGCTGGAAAGCAATGCCAAGTGTCCGAGTGTTGTTGACCCATTTCGTGCCAATGAGCGTCTCAGGCGCATTACCATTCTCTACCCAATCGACCATGGCCATGAGGATGTTCTCACTGGGCTTGTAGCTATTGCTCTCTGCAGAACTCTGACCAATAGCATGCGCTCCGTCTCCTCCACTGCAATGCCCGGTGCCGCTGACTGTAAAGTAACGGTAAAAAGAATCGAGCTCTGCCGACGAAAGGCCCATAGTAGAACTAACATGCTCATAGTATCTGGGAGAATTCTCCGACGAAATGAGATAATCGGCGCCTCCGTGCCAATGGATAATTTTAGTTCCACGGTTCCTCACACCGCTTAGGTCGCCCTTCCAAGTCTGGATATTGAACGGATTTATGCGTTCAGCGTTTTCAAAGTCGGTCGAACCTATCGCTTTTGGGTCCCAGGTTGGGTCGTTGTAGATGGCGTAGCGGAACCAGTCCGCTGTGTAGACGAAGGGAACCCCGTTAAAGAAGGTGCTGGTAGCGGTGATCTCGGCGCCGGGTTGTAAGCGTGGATACACAAGATCCCCGTTATCGTCGAAAAGCGGTTGGTAGACAGCTTTGACCGTCTCGGCTTGGAGTGGGGTGAGACAATTAGTTGAGTTGCTACCTTCACAAACCAGGCCAGATGGATCATAGTTGCACTTCAGAGTGTACTCAATGACACCGTCTGTGAGGCCATCTAGTGCGTCGCATTGTTTTAAAACGTCAACGTGAACCCGGGCCCAAAGAGGTGGGCTAACAAAAGTTGGAGAACCAGGCGGACCAGTGAGACGATAAAAGTTCCCGCTCCAGGATGTCAAATTATTAAATGCAAAAGCTGGCGCGCCAGCAACAATGCCATCAAAGTCGTTAGGGAAGTCTTGTGCCGATTTAAAGCCCTGGCGTCCTCCAGTCGAGCATCCAAGATAGTACGACTTGTCGTGTGGTTTGTTATAGAAGTTCTGGGATATCTGCTTGCCCACGACAACGCCAGTATGGAGGCTGAATTCATCAGCTCAAGCTTAGCTCTATACATGACGATTGCAATACTTACGCCCTGTAAGCAAAATCCTGTACAACGTCTGAATTGTTGTAGAACGGCTTGCCACTCGTGCCGTTATGACCATTGTTGGTACCAACAGTCGAGAAGCCCAGGGCAGATGTATATGCCAAGTCCGCATACTTGATACAACCATTCAGTCCACCGTTCCCTACGGACAAGAACCGTCCCGTCCAGTTCGATGGTAGCCATGCTTCCATATTAAAGCCCGAGCGGTTCGATGTTGATACTGAGAGTGCGATACGACATATGTCAGCTGTGACTGCTATGAATGTTTGGGTACAGGACGGGTCGTTCTCAGCGAGACTGAGATTTGTGCCGGCGGCAACGAACTCTGAAAAATGGACAACGCTGCTTTCGACGGCGAGCTTAGATGCGACAGCGGCGCATTTCGAGCTAAAGCGATCTCGATTTGTGCTGTTGCCGTGACCATTATCTGGCGTGGTGTTATTCTCTCCACAGCTTGTGGGTGAAGAATTTGCGAGAACGAAAGATGCGCTCAAAACCGCAGTCCACAGTGGTTGTTTGAACCTCATCTTGATCTTTTCCCAACAGGATCGTGGATATGTAGTATGGTTCTGAGATCTTGGGCTTCCCCATCTCTTTAACTTAGTGGAAGATGAGCTAGCAGTCCTACGTAATTTTAGCGTTTACTCCACTTCGGGGCAAATAGATGATGGGGCCCGGGGCGTGCCGTCGAGGTTCCCGTTTTCCTTACAACAGACCAAACATCTCCACAAAAACACACCAACGACAAGGCTAGGAAGCCTCGCCGATGCATACATACAAACATACGTAAGCTATAAAACGCGCGTTTAGACGTTGTCCAACCACGCTATTGAGTCTCACACAATTGCCGGTGCCTGGAAGTAGCGGCGACGCGGAATCTTTACCGTAGTCGGACACTAATCCAGGCCCGGGCTACCGAAGGCTCTGCCGGCAGCGACCCTACGCGGGGCCGGAAGAAGAATGAAGACTGTTTAGTTTATCCCCCTCTTCACCTATTTTCAATATGGGTTGGCGGGTATCGATCGTGAGGCTGCCAATCGGTGTTGAGGGTCTGTTGCGTCATGCATCGGATCGTTGGCACCCATGCTTGAAGTTTAGCCGTACTTGAAAGAGCTACCTTCAGCCCTTCCCGCCGACGACAACCCCCTTAGCAGTGCTTGGAACTTGCCAGAGCGAAAAGAGAGCAAATCCTTCTTGATACTTCTGGCGTCAAGTCGTACGTGCGACCAATGTATGTTACGATCTGGATGGATTCGTTCTCCGCAGCTTCAGCTATAGTGGAGTAGTAGAGGGCAGTGTAATTCTTCTTTTAGGCACGGCGGACTTTGCGGGAACGTGTTAGCTTTCATGGCTCTTTATGAATTACCAAGACGCTGGAGACAGAAGCCGGCCTGAGCTGGAGTTCAGTCTGTGAGGCTCCGTATGGCTGTCATTTCTCCACAAAAGACGGTTCTAGCTAGAGTTTCGTTCCTTGAGTCAGGTGTTTCGTACTGGCTCCTTCGAACGAACAATCCTTAAGAAGTATGTGCTCCGCGGCCAATGCGGACAAGATAATCCTTGAGAAGGCTCAATCAAGGTTACTAAAGCTGAACGGGGAAAGGTAGAGCAAGAGAGAACACCACTGTTCGCACCTCTAGGTACCCGAAATCACCCTCCCTCGTCCTCATCGCGTCCTCCAGCAGCGCTTCAATAATGGATCCAAAGATTTGGAGAAATATCACTGAAATGACTTTTCTGCCGCCCCCAAATGCACGGCCATGCAAGCATGCCAGGGACCGTCACACCAGCCAATAAATGATAACCTCCATATTATCCTGCTATCCTGAGCATGTCATTCACATGGTGGCCTGCATGTCGCTTAGAAAATCACGGAGCTCTGCATGCCCATTTTCAAACTCTTGGTTTTCCTTTGCTGTCTCTGTCATTTGATTTCTAAACGCAAGAATGTTGCTACGACTTGCTCTCAACCTATGCTTCGCTATTGGCGCAAAAGGCCACTTACATCTAGGACGCACCGCAAATGTAATTGAAGTTAGCCAGTTAAGTAACGGAACAGTGTACGATTTCATTGTTGCGGGTGGTGGAATCGCAGGGCTGACAGTCGCCGATCGATTGACTGAGAATCCCAATGGTATGCGACTGCTACCTTCAAACATGCAACAGCTAACCCAGAAATGAGTGACGGTTCTTGTCATCGAATATGGACCTTTCGATAAAAGAGAAGACGCTGTCATGGTTCCAGGCGCTTATTTCCCCGTACCTTATCTCTGGCTACCGTTAATGACTACCCCTCAACTAGCGCTTGGAGGCACATCATATGGCGTACCGTGTGGAAGGGTAGTTGGTGGAGGTTCTGTTGTTAATGCCATGTTCTTCCACAGATCGGACGCGAAGTTGTATGATGCTTGGGAGGAGCTCGGTGCGACAGGATGGTCTTGGACGGATCTACTCCCATACTTCAAGAAGGTATAGAACGGCTTAGGGCATGGCGAAGACATGTTCATGACTAACAAGGTTTAGAGCGAGACTTTTAACCCACCAAATGCGGAGTATGCAGCCCAGCACAACATTACGTGGGACGAGTCGTTGCATGGTTTTGATGGACCTGTACAGGCGAGCTATGCGCCATATGACTACGCTGGAAGCGGTGAGTTCTCTCCTTTAATTGTGTGGTAGCGCCAATTCTTATAACACACAGAAAATTTCTACAACGGTGTCGTTAGTCTCGGTATTCAACCAGCGAAGGACCCCAACAACGGTCATGCTCAGGGCATTTTCCGTCTTCTACGTTCTGTCAACCCAAAAACGCAAACACGCTCATCAGCCCGCGTTCGTTACGACCGAGATGCGTCAAGGCCTAATTACCACATCCTTCCTAGTACAGCTGTGTCACGCGTTCTTTTCGAAGGTACTACTGCGACCGGTGTCGAATACGTGGCCACCTCAAATGGAAGTAAGAGCACCGTTCAAGCCAGTAAGGAGGTTATAGTAGCTGCAGGAAGTGTCCACACACCTCAGATCCTACAGTTGTCTGGCTTAGGCGACGCGGCACAGCTCAAAACTCTCGACATAAAGACCGTCTCGGACCTGCAAGGCGTAGGCCAGAACCTGCAAGACCATCTCGTGCTGAAAGTGAACTATAATTGTATGGATCTGATCTTCTGAAAGCAACACTATAGGTACATGCTAACCAGGATCATAGATACGTCAAACCACTTCCCTAATGGCGGCTCTCTCCAGTCAAACACTACCTACGCCAACGAACAGCGCAAACTATACGACGGCGGCAACCCCAGCGCTTACGACCTCACCGGCACAACAGGGAACCTGATCGTCCAGCTCCCCCTCTCAAATTGGACAACTCGTTCCACCTCCATCGCCACACTCGCTAGACGTTTCGATCCCGCCGCACTCCTCGGCGCCAGTTCCCCGGAAAGCGTACTCCGCGGCCTGGAAAAGCAACGCTCCATCATGATCCGCGACATAAACCGCGAAGCCGTTGGCGGGTTATCCTGGAACACGGGACCGGAGACCAGTATTTATATGACACGCCCGTTCAGTCGCGGGTCTGTCAAAATAAACTCGACTAGTATCTTTGACGCACCACTGATTGACTTCGGCGCTCTAACAGATGCCACGGATTTAGACATCCTATACGCTATCTACATGAAGAATCGCGATATCATGTCGACGCCTGACATAGCTGTCCTCGGACCCATTGAAGTTACTCCCGCGCCAGGCCTCGAAGATGAAGTGGCGATCAAGGAGGAGCTCATAAGAGCGCTGGCGCCAAGTAATGCACACCAGTGCTGCACAGCTGCGATGATGGCGCAAGAAGACGGCGGTGTAGTTGACGCCCAAAACAGGGTGTATGGGACAGACCGGCTAAGTGTTGTGGATGCCAGTGTGTGGCCGCTTATTGTGAGTGGAGGACCGCAGGCCAGCGTTTATGCTGGGGCTGAGAAGGTGTGTCTTTTCTTTTTCTGTTATCGCTCTGCGCGTATGAAACTAAGTGAGTGAGTCTACTACTGAATGCTGACTATGGTTAATAGGCTGCAGACCTGGTTAAAAACCGGTATGGATTACTGTAATGTTCCACGACAGCCAATACTGAGTTTAATACGCTTCTATGGATACTATAGCTTTTCGCAAAAGCAAGCTAGGGATAAGAATTAATATTTTAGGATTTTAGTGCTGAAGATGCTAGGATTACAGAATTTGGTTCTTGAACATATTAATTAACTTGTCGCGTGCTATTATTATACAAGTGCAATATAATTACAGCTCTCTAGGGAAAGACTTTTTGTTTCTGAATTCAGCGCTTTGTGTCGGGAAATAAAGTCTCCACAATAGCACAAAGCTTGTCTTGATAGCCCCTCTTCATAGGTAACTTTCGATCAAGTAGTAAGACAATGGGTCCGGATGCGGTGAAGTTGCTACGCCATAGGTACTTACGCCAACTCGCCTCGTACGGCACGAATTGCAAGCCATCCGAGCTTCACGTTTTCTCATCGGAGGCTCACCACTCGACTCGCGAATATCGTGCGTACCTGCAGCTGCAGATTGTCGGCGTGTAGGTATCATAGCGAGTACAAAGGATGAAAACGTTTGTGGGAGGGTGGAGCTTGTGTATAGAGACCTAGACTTAGTGAAGATATATAGGTCCCAATCTACTACGTCGGATTAGCCCAGGTTGATATTGGATTCATCAACCGTTTTCCCAGTCCGAGGTCTCTATCTGAGGGTGGCGTTTTGACGCCGCCAACACGATGAATTAGGCACATTTAGCAAAGAGCATTCGGGCCTAATCGGCAATTGTTTCCACATCTTCCTGAGAGAGTGGTTTGATGGCGAGGAATATCTAGTCGTCGGACGACATTTCCACATCTTGGCCCTTCTTTGCTTCTTCTTTCGCTGCTGTGTCTCCTCTCGTGACGGCTTTTTCAGTGGACGCCGCCTCGCTCTTCTCGCCGCTATCCGGCACGTTCTCGCCCTGTGCGTCTCCTTTCACAGGCGCCGCTGGTCCAGGACTTTTGCAGGCTTGTACTACACTCGGTCTGCCAATCGCACCCTCGATGTCGAGACCGCCACCCTGTTTCTGTAGCCCAGTATCTTCCAGGCCAATTATCTCAGGACCTCTTGCATGCGGTACTTCCTCCTGTCCTTCGACTGTTTCAATAATGGTACCTCCGCCCTCCAATTCGCCAAACGTGGTCCGCGTGGGGCTCGTATTTAGGGAATGCGGATTGTTGAGTACGATACCGGCCTCTTGTTCCTGGCGCAGAAGCTCGCCTTGTGTGACTGGGCCCGTAGAAGGCAGCGTCTCGCCATCTGGATGTGACGAGGCGATTTGGGCCGACTCTGGTCGCGAGGTTCCGGCCAGCATACCCACGGTTACAGTTTCAATTCGGCCAGCGCCATTGGGCCCATCGACCATTTCTGTACTCTCGGATATCAACTCATTCTGGCCGCGGTTCTGGAGCCATGGTATCGGGGTGAGTAATGCGCCGCCGAGCGATTCATCAGAGCCAAGTGCTGTCGTCTGAGGTGCACTGGTAGATGTTGTGCCATTGAGTAGACCGCCAGCAGTGGGTAGTACGGCTTGGGGAATGGGAAATATTGTGAGTGGTGAGGACACGGAGACGACGCGATCGAGAGCGCGGAGGTATGGCGGCAGATAGCTATACCTCTTCTTTGGCTCTAGTACTAGCTCAGCTAGCCGTTGAATGGTATGCGGTGGATGTTTCGCAAAGTTTTTGGAAAGAGTATTTCGAATGGAAGCGTAGAAGGTGGTGATGTCTTGGGGGACGGTGTGCGACTCGGAGGGCGTGGAGAAGGCGGGGACGGGCGGTCGTGGCGGGGTCGCAGGCGGTGCATTCTCCTTGTCAGTGGTATGCGACTCTTGACTTGATATGGCATTGGACGTCTGGGGCCGCGAAGGTAGCTCAGAGTGGGCTGGTGGAGCAGCGTCTGCGGGCGGAGTTGGGAAGTCGCTGACAATCTACACAACGTTTAGTTGTTGTGGATGAGTGATTGAGACGGACGGGCGCATTACCTCATCCAGGCGATGCAGAATAAAGTCCAGTGTCTTGGGCCATTCAGCTCTGTATTGGCGCGCATTAGAAGCTGTCGCAGCTGAGGGGGGTAACGTGTAGAGGGGCACCCACGAGTCCAAGGATCCGTCGTCGGCGGCCTTCTGGAGGACCTGTGCTGGAGACAGTTGTTAGCATGGACGACGCTTCTTGAGGCAGGGTTACGGAGGCATACCTGGTATAGACGTCATGCCTGCCCGCGTGTAGTAACACCGGGGCTCGCGATGGGTGAGAAGGTAGGAGAGTGGAGCAAACGCGAGCTTGCGACTGCGCCACAGCGACGGAGCTAGCCGGCCTGCAAAGATATATTTACACGAGGCTGACCAATGGCACGGGGTGGATGGCGCCACTGCGCAGCTCAGTGGGAGCGGCTGGGGCTGGGGCTGGGGCTGGGGCTCAGCGGGCAGGCGCTTGAGAAGGAAAAGGAAGGAGCAGGCGCCAAGACGATGCGCGTCTGAAGGGCTTCGATGGATGTTCCCGTTTGGAGCTGAAAAGCAGTCGGCCGCAGTTTGGCTCCTTTTGCTCTCGACTCGATCCTTTTTCTCGACTCGAGCGAGACTGAAGCTGTCTCTGTCTCTGTCTCTGTCTCTGTCGTAAACAGCCGCGAGCCGTGGGGTCCACCTGCACCAAACCAGACCACCAACAAGACCCTTCCCATTCCCATTCTGTCGTCTCCACACAGCTCCCGGGGGGCTAACAGCGCTACTTGCCCTCAGCAACGCAGCGCAGCGCAGCCTGTCCATCTCCATCTACGTCTTTGTCTCCATTATTCTCCTGTCCTCTTGTTCCCCTCCCGCCACTACTTCCTTCTGCCGCTCGCTCACGTCAACACTCTTTACCGCCTAACAATCGCCCACCTGTTTCGCTCCGTCGTCGTCTCCCACAGGCCAAGGCGCTTCTAGTTTCAGCATCGCGCGACCACTTGCGCATCGTCCCCCCCAGCTGTCTCGCTGCTTCACACCCGTCTCAGCTGTGCCTCCAGCCCTGTCCTGCCCTGTCCTGCCAATCGCCCGCACGACACGTCGCCCACAGGTCGCCCGCCGTCTGCGCCCCCATCGCAACCAACCACCACCGAACCCCTCTATATCCACCTGCTTCAGCCGCCTCTCGCGGCTGATACTTCTGCCAAAATTTCTCACCACGAGGCACGGGCATCCCTTCTGGGAGGTCAACCGCTCGACCGAAACTACACGCCCTATACCAACTACCAGCCAACCTTCCAGCAACCGCGCGTCGACACCCAGCCTGGGGGATACCACCACCGCGAAGGCTTCCCCACAACCCTCCCGCCGCCCGTTCCACGCCCGCCCAGGATGTATATTCCCAACACCAAGTGGACATGGGCCTTCATGTTGACGGCCATTGGGCAGATCGTCATTGCGCTCGCATTGGAATCGTACGTCGATGGGTGCACACACACGACTATGCACTGGGGCTAACGACTGCGTAGATTTGTTTTTGGCAAGTTCCGTAGCGAACTGCACTTCGCCGCCGATGGTGTCAAAAACGAGGCCCGCACTATCCCCACCTACCTCGCCGTCTTCATGTTCGGCTACATCTACCAGCTGTTCCTCGTGTGGGATGCGCTGCGGCTGAAGAACACGATTCAAGTCATTGGACTCGTCATGTACAATGTCGGCATTCTCGTCTATGCCGCTATTCAGTTTGACCAGATCAAGGACGCGGCCGACGCCTTGAATGCGGCTCACTTTATCCCCAAAGACTTCTGGGTTAACGTCAAGCCCATGCTGATCGCCCTGCCCATTCTGATGGCTGTTGCTACGGTCATCTTCGCCTTTGAGGCGTGGAAGCTGTACGATGAATTTGCCTGGACCATCTACAAGCGTATCAGTGCTGACACGCGCTTGAAGCGGAGATATCTGACATATCAGGTACGGAACGCTACATTGGCTTCTAGCTATAAGTCACTAACCGTGGCCTAGATTTACATTGCACTCCTAAAGTTCGACTTCTTCTTCTTCCTCGCCTTCACCGTCCAGTTCCTTGTCGTTGTCGAGAACACCAAGACCGTCGAACTCGCCCTCACCGCTACCGCACTCGTCATCACCTTCTTCCTCCTCTTCCTTGCTGCCTGGTGGGTGCGCCGCGAGTCCATTGTAGGCATGATCGTCATCATTTTCGTCTACTTCGTCGCGCTCGCCTACTTCCTGTTCAAGCTCATCCGGATGTATGTGGCCGACCTCGCTCGCCAAGAAGACTACAAGCCCGCACGCAAGTCATTGACCGCTTTTGCTGTTCTTACCATCATGTTGCTTCTATGCACGATTGTCGTCGCATGCCTTTGCACACACAACTTCAACAAGGGCCTCAAGCCACACGTAAACGACAGTCTGGTACAGACAGACAAGCAGTACAACACAGAGATGCCGTCATTAAGTGGACCTCAACCTTCACAGCGGATGGAGATTGATTAGTATGCCATCTTAGCTGTTATTTCTTCCAAATTTACGACATGACTTGCTTTGGATACCTGCGTTATGCGAGCATCGCTCCGATCAGTCGGACCGGACCGACACATCTGGCGTTCTGATATCTGCGAGATATCCATTTTGGGGCTTTTTTGGAGAGGGAAATCTGGAAGGAGTGACTGGACCGGCACAGGAAAACCATTGGAAGCTGAGCTGACCTTCCCTTTGATGGCGAAACTATATCACAACGCACTCTTTTCTTTTGTATCCTCCATCTAACGGCCACACTGTACAACAAAACGGTTGGTCCTTGGTTTCTTTTTGTATTTAAGTGGTCTGCTCATACTATACCCCCCCATCATGACAGGCCAGCGCAGAATTGATCTGGGCTATGGAAACCCTACTATTATTACATGTCGTTCCTGCAATCCCAATGTAATGTGCCATGACTCCTAGACAATGCAATACATGCTATCGCAAGCTTATTGTACACCGTATAAAATCAAGCTCTTGCGTCAAGCTCAGACAAATCCTCGACTATACCCACCTGCAAGACCATAGCTTTCCCCCCTTCCATTATTAGGTTAGGTCAGGGGGCCGCACACACATGTTGATGGTGATCGAAACGATACGCGATCGGCACGCGTGCGCCCAAGCCATGCGCCAGGGTCCACATGCACCTACATCATCGGCTCGGCTGCTGCAAGCTTTGGAAAAGCTAAGGAGCTTTCCATTCCTCTTCACATATTCACGTACAACCCCTTTACTCTCCACCCTGCAAACGCCCTGTAGCGAGTTCCTTTGCATTACATTGCATAGCTAACTGCTTTTCAAGCATTACTTACGATGGCGTTTCGCTGGTGAGTGCTCAGAGTTTTTATCCGTTTACCTGTGAGGGTTCGTGGGGGTTGCGATTGAATATGTCCCAGCAAAGTAACGAGGCGGACTTGGAAAAAACATAGGAAAGCTAGATGCAGAAAGCTAACAGAGTTATGCAAGGTACCAAGCGAAGCTCAAGACAGCGCCGCTGCTTACGCAGAGTATCACCACGGCGGTACGAACACACTTCTACTTTCACTCGTACTTCTGATGCTACTTCGCACCTTCCAAAATCGCGTAGGGGTATACCACTACAACGTTTGTTGAGATGCGCATGTCCCTGGCGACGGAAATACAGGAACATCATCGTCGTCGTGTCGAATGAGCGTGACGGAGCGCAATACGTGCTTTTGGAAGGAACGATTGGCTGATAGGTGTGGTGTTCAGGTCCTCTTCGCAACGGGCGATGTAATGGCACAACAGGGCGTAGAAAGGCGAGGCGTGGAGAAACACGATTTGAAGCGCACGGGGCGAATGGCTGCGTATGGCGGAGGTACGTCTATACGGCTACATGGCTACCTACCAGTTCCCTTCCTTCTTCAACCCCGTAGCCAACGGGACATCAAAAGAACCGTGCGGATGCTAACAACGCAATCTTTTTCGGCACACAGTCATCTTCGGTCCCGCAGCAACCAAATGGTATGAAATCCTCGTCCGCCATATCAACCTCAAGTCGCACAACACCACCATCCTCGCCCGCGTCGCAGCCGACCAATTCGTCTTTGCGCCCGTCAACATGGGTCTTTTCCTCTCCAGTATGGCCTACCTGGAAGGCGCGTCTCCAACCCAACGTCTCAAAGACGCTTACCTGCCTGGATACCAGAAGAACCTCATGCTGTGGCCGTGGATTCAGTTTACCAACTTCAAATATGTGCCGGCGGAGATGAGGGTGCTTGTTGTTAATGTGGTTAGTTTGGGATGGAATTGCTATTTGAGTTATCTGAATTCCGGGGGTGGCAAGGGCAATGTGGAGAAGATGGTGGAGAAGGTGGGAGGACGGGAGAATGGACAGGAGGGCGGAGAGTTGCCCCCTTCGTAGAGGATGGTACGGTAATGGCATTCAAGGAGGAGAAAGCTGGTGATGTACCCTTCGCAACAACATCATCATCATCATCATCATTGCACTAGTAAGATAGGTATAACTTGATATACAGATACAGGAAACCGATCCATTCCGTTCAACTTTGTAGCCTCTTCAGCTCGTTAGAGTTGGAGTTTGACTTCCTCGAGCGTATTATACCTACAGTAGTTACAACTTAGACAACTAAAAGGCAATCTAGCCATTCCTTTGCCCCCACCCCCTTCTCTGTTTCTACCCAGAGCAAAATGTAGGAAGAAAAGTGGTAATAAGAGTAGCAATTAGAGGGCAGTCATGATTGATGGCCCAGGGGAAAAAACGCCTCCTAATGCAGATTGCAGATATTACTTCAGCTGTGCTCGCTTGCTGATGAGGAAAGAAAAAAAAACACGAGGGGAGAGAAAGAAAAGGACAACAACGCATGTGCTTGATATGGTATCCAGCGAACGCAATCAAGGAAAACAGAAATGTTGCTCCTTCTCAAAGCAAAGGCTAAGCTCGCTCCAAAAACTGCGCAACCTGGAACGTTTTTGTACTCGGGGCTCTTCTACTCGATGGCCACTGAATCTCACAAATCGACCCCAACGATGATCCAAGAATCCCACCTCTTCCGCTTTAGCGGCGAGCCGCACTACCGGCCCCCAGTCCTCTGCCTGCCCATGCGTCTGAAAAAGTCCATGACCTTCTTTGAGCTCCCTGAACTGCCCTTGTTTCCACTCTGCTCATCGTACGCATCAGCAAACTTCCTACTCTTCTGGAGAACGCCCTTTCTTTGCTGCTGCTGTGGCGACTCGTCCCCGCCCATACCCTGTGGATACGCGCTACGTTGTGGCCCTAATGACTGCGACTGCGACGACGGTCCAGGTGCAAAGGTCTCACTGACCTCGGAGTTGTTCGGGTGCTGTCTGTACGACCGATTTTGCATGCTCGGATGGGGGTCCCGAGGATTAGGGAACTTCTCGTCTCCAATCGGAGCCTGGTTGCCGTAGGCCTCAAATTGCGTTCGATCTGCGGGGGCGGATGACGGTCCAGCAGCATTCGTATTCGCGTTCCTTATCCTGCTACTACTATCGTGCTGACCATCATAGAAGCCAGGGATATTGCTGCCCGTGGTACTCTGACTAGGAGACCTGCTCTCCGCGCCGCGTCCAAATGCCCCACCAGGCTTGGACCCAGCTCTAGGGCGGGCATTGGAGCCGCGGCGTTCGCTGTGAGAGGTTGCGGGCATACTGTCTCGTTGGGAGGTAAATGTCTTTGAGAGAGAGGATGGAAGGAGCGAGAATCTACGGGATGGTTTCGATTCGCCAGAGTTATTGGTGTTCTTGCGCGAGAAGCCAAACGAAGTGCGGCGGCCGGATTCTGTACTCTGCCTGTGTGCTGATATAGGTTCATTGGATATGGGTCCTGGCATAGAGGTGGGAGGGTAGCTCTTTTGTTTCTTCTCCTCAGGATGATTCGCGTACGAGCTTTGCGATGTCAAAGACTCTTTGGGATCTTGGGTATACGAAGGTTGACGACCTGAGAACATGGATGTCATACGCCCAAGAGTCTCGGTAACTGTATTCGACCGCCTGTGGCCCTTGGCATGTGCGCCTGACGGTCCCAGCTGAATCGACTGCCCTCGTTGCGTGCTCGGCTGTCCAATGCTCGGCTGTGCGACACCAGAAGACTCTGCTTGAGCATATGGAGCCGAGATGGAGTACTGCTGGCCCTTTGGTTGTGAGAAGCGGCCCTCAGCATTAGTCTGAGCGACAGTTGCCACGGAGGGCATGCCGTAAGAGTTTCCTCGCGAAGGAAGTCTTGGGCCGAGCGTGCCACCCGTTGAAGGCCGCGCCGTGGTCACAGGGGCGGTACCAAAAGCTGAATAGTCGGAGACTGATCGTTGCGGTTCTCGTCCCGGTCGGGCTGGAGCAGCCGTACCAGTTCCACCAGCAGAGCGGCTTGGTCGGGCACTTGTGGACGATTGATAACCATCCGTGGGTGGAACCTGCGCCTCTTTTCCACGTGCTTGCGGTGTTTCGGTAGCAGGAGGTGAAGCCTCGCCTCGCACAGTCTGCGATTGAGGCGCGACATATTCGACCTGAACGGTTCGACGTTTGTTGTCGCGAGTGGTCTTGGCCTTCTCTGAAGGTGGCTGATTGATCTGTTCCTTTTTGGTAGTGAGACCGCCATGTGCAGGTGAAGCCGCTGCGTGCGGTTTTGCGGGTTCACGGACCGAAGCGCTCCGAGCGAGAGCCGGTTGTTGTTCGAATGTGTCTTCTAATGGTAGGTCAGAATTAGAGTGCAGGCAGATATGAGGACATGCATGCTTACTCGAGTAGACGGATCCTTGTTGAGCGTCGGTGGAGTTGGTGTTGCTTGATGTGATGAAGCCAACGACATGGGAGTAGTCAGCCAGCCAGCTATGGCGTGCGACCTCGAACAGATCCGCCCGCTTACGTGGGTCTGGTACGAGAATGCGTTTGAGGAGGTCTCTTGCGTGCGGTGTGACATATTCCGGGAACGTAAGTGGGGTCGATACGATATACTTGTAGAGTAGATTGATGTTGTCTCCCTCGGGATTGGCTGGGTCGTCGTCGAAGGGGAGATAGCCTGCCAACATGGCATACTGAGTAGCGTTAGTACTATTGCTTACCAAGAGAAGTAGACGGAGACTTACCAGAATGACACCACAGCTCCAGACGTCCACCTTACGGCCCGTGTACAGCGAATCACTAACCACCAGTTCGGGCGCAGCATAGCATGGACTTCCACAGCTGGTTTGCATTAGATCGCCGCGACGAGCGCCGTCGCTCCCCTCCATTCCCATGGATCTTATATAGTCCTTGTCGCCTAGTCGATACTCAATCTCTTCGCTAAGCTCGTCATGTGGGTCGAAGGTGTTGGCGAAGCCGAAGTCGGTAATGATGATGTTCTTGTTGCGGTCTAGCAGCAGATTCTCAAGCTTCAAGTCTCTATGCACAATGCCTTTTCTGTGTAGATAGCCAACGCCTGAAATGAGCTGAGAGAATAGTTTCCGTGCAGGGCCGTCCTTTAGATAGCGATGGTTGAGAATGTAGTCGAATAGTTCTCCGCCCGAGGCATACTCGAGAATAATGCCAATGTGACGTTCCGTCTCCACCATCTCGTGTAATCGAACAATATTGGGGTGGTCTAGCCCTCGCAGGATATGGATTTCGCGGTAGATCTTTTGAAGCCGGTTCGAGTTGCCGCCCAGTGTTTCTCTTCTTATGAGCTTGATGGCGACTTCGACACTGCTGTCTCTTTTCCAGCCCATCTTGACTTTGCCAAATTCACCCTCGCCCAGCGTCTGGCCTAGGATGTAGTTGCCAAACTTGGATCGCTTGGCCGAGTTTTCAGACTTGGAGTGGTCCTGTCTGCTCTTTCCGCCGCCTCGGCCGCCATCGTCGACGCCCTCACTGCCCACTAGACCGAGCCCTGTGATTGGGGTAAGGTCTGCGGCCGACGACGCGGGGATTCCTTCAGCTTGCCGCGCCTGCTCGCGGGCAATATCTTCCTGGGGGTCTGCGACTACGATTCGGTTTATGACGGTGCTCTCTTCGCGGGGGAGGTGGGTGCCTGTAGGTGGCTGGCCGACTGCCGTGGCAGACCGGCTGTGTCCCGGCTGCGATCTGCTTGAGCTTCCTTGCTGATGTGGGCTATCCTTCCCTCGGCGTCGGGATTGGGCTGCATTGGCGGCTGCACTCGCTGTATCGTCACGTACCCTATCGGCTTGCGACGAGCCCCCTGCTGTTGTGGATGGAGGTGGGGCGCGAGACGACGATGTCCTAGGCGGAGGCATAGGCCCGCTGCCCATGGAAGTGGCCGTGTTGTTCATGGCCGGGGAGGTTTGTGTCGACTGGGGTAGCGGCTGCGCGCGAGGCGTCGTGGGCGTGTTGGGAGACGCGCCATTACTGGGCCGTCGCGAAGGGCGGCGTGCGGAGCCTGGCGAGGCTGCCACGGGAGATTGTTGCTGGTAGTATTGCTGACCATGCGGCGGTTGCGATGCCACGGCGGCCATGCTCTGTGGTCGCGGCGGGAGAGGGCAGCGGCGGCGGCGGTGGTGTGGTGGTGCTGGCTCACGCAGGCGGGTGAGGTGGACTATGGCGCCCGGATTGCGTTGGCAATGTTTGTCCGAGTATCAGGGTTGGCGGCGTCGAGCTCTCTCTCTCTCTCTCTCGAATGGGAAATGGAACAGATGAGCATCAAGCAGTCGCGCCGGCCAAAGGGAGACTGCAGCAGTGAGATGGCGGTGAGAAGAGTCGAACAATTGGGCCGGGAGGGGGGGGCAAGATGGTGGGCGGCGCGCAAGAGAAGACTCGAGTGCGCGAGGCGGTTGCGGTGTGCGGCGGTGAAGGTGGTTTGTTGATCCGACAGCGCCTTCACATGCACTCGGTCGACGACTCACGCGTGGTGCAGCGAGGGTGGACGAAAGTGGAACGGCAGCCTCAGGCGGTGAGGGTCAGGCTGTCCGGCGCAGTGATTGTCGGTGATGTCGTCAAAAGGCAGGGCGGCCGCCTGTCTAAGCGTGGGCCGTCTTGGTCTTGGGGGCGCGATGGAGAGAGGTGGTTGACGGGTTTCTTGACGTGAGTGGAGAGGAGCAGAAGGCGCGGCTGAGCGAACGTGAGACGGTAATCTCGCCAAAGGCTGTGGCTTGGGGATAAGGGGAGAGGGCAGATGCACATCATTTGAGCGCGCGGCATAACACCCCCAGTCCGCCAAAGCACAACCACGGCCCACACACATACATACAGCACGCAGCACACAGCACAACACGGCACGGCACAGGGCAGGGCAGGGCGAGTCCAATTGCACACCACTAAGAATGACTGAATGAATGAATGAATAAATAAATAAATGCCGGCTTCTCCTCTCTTCTTTCTGTCCATCGGTGTCGGTCTGGCTGCTGGATTGTACCTGTGACTTGGGGGCGTCAGACTGCAGCAACCCGCAGGCGACCCCCTTTCACGATAGCCACACACACACACAAACCGTGTCGCCCTGGTAGCATAGGTAGTGTGTAGTGCAGTCCAAGTGGTTTCATGCCGCATCCAACCCGACGATGACAACGACAACGACGACGACGACATTTGCGCAAATTGCCCGTCATGCGCCCGCCCAGACCTGGCAGACGCCCGATATACACCAGCCGCCTGCCTCATCTTCAGTAATACCGCCCTCGCTATCGAATCTCCAGCGGCTCCTCCAATGTCGGCAAGTCACCCCTCTGCTTCTCATCCTAACCTCACGCGTCCCCCGTAGCTACCGACGCGTTCAACAAGGACAACAAGGACAACAAGGACAACACGACACACAAAACAACACAACACAACGCCACAACCTCGTCGCCAACCACCTCACCCCCAGCTCGTCTCAATTTTCTTCGCTCAGGGATGGCTAGGGGCCCGCGGCGCACAGAGCTTGTTTGCGACCACACACGCTGGTGGCGTCGAGCAAGGAGGGGCAAGCTTGAAGCGCCTGATGAAGCTTGACTTGAGGAACATGTTCGCCATGATGACTGACGCTCATCAACCAATGTCTCTCCCACCGTCCAAGGGAGCGACCCTGCATCCTCTCTCACTTGACTTAACTTTCCTCGGCAGCACATCCAATCAACACCTACCTGGCATGACTCGCAGCTTCCGTATTAACGCCTTTTTTTCTTTCTTGTTCTTTCTTCGAATAATAAACTACTTCTCTCTCTCTCTCTCTCTCATTGCCCAGCCGTGAATTCTTCCGCTTGGCTTATGACCTCGCAGCTTGGACCGCCCCCTTCATGTAGGTAACAGCTTCTTCCTCGGAGATTAGACGCTGGCGCTTTGATCGCCCTTGCCGTGCATGGTGTCACCCCGGGTCCACCTTCTCCTAGCGCTCTAACCTGCCGTTACTCGAGCCTTGCACCTTCCTCGCTTGTGCGTCCCTACCCTCAATCCATCCATGTCTAACCACTAGTTACTTCGGAACCACCCTGGAGAGGATTTGGTCAAGGGCCACTACGCATTGCCGTCACACGCTGCAAATCTCTGTCTTGTGCTTTTCCATTACTTGGTCGCCTTACGAAAAGGAACTGTCATCGTCTACCCCACTTACTCGAAAAGGGATGAATACAAAAGCGAGTAAGCAATAATCACACAATTTCATAGCCACGTCCATCGTTGCTTGCAATCCCACCCAACACCTCCAGACACCCTTCTTGGACGCAGCATGCTTCTTCACATCTTCACCTCATTCGGGAGACTAATCTCCAAAATGTCCACCCCCTTTTGGAGCTCACTCTTGCTCGGCATCTTCTTTCTCCTCATAAGCTGTAAGACGTTAGCGTATGGCTTGTATGCATTCTGCTCAGGCTATCAAGTACCTCTGCGCTTTGCGTCATGTATGGGTCCTTTTGCATAGACGCGACTGCCACAACCTCTTCTCCACTCGTGTAATAGGCGACGAACGAAGGCTCCTCTGGCTTGCCTTGGAGAACGACATCATCATATCCATTCATCGTGTTACCGCAGTAGCGTAACTGCGAACCGAGAGCTGACCAGAACACAGGAATGAATGGCTTTGGCTTCGATCCTGGGTTGTTGATCGAATTGGCCACTGAGCGGCCGGCGTTTTGTGCAACGTTCCAATGCTCGATGCGAACCGGCAAGCCATTGCCTCCAGGACCATGGTAGGGGTACGTCGCAATGTCTCCTATGGCGTAGACATCCTTCAAGCCCTCGACGGCGAACGACTCGTCCGTCCTCAATGAGCCGTCCTTTTCTAGCGTCACGCTCGGGTTATCTTTGAGGTATTCTGTTGCAGGCGAGACGCCAACACCCTCAATGACCACGTCGGCTTCAAGCGCTGTGCCGTCCTTGAGATGCACGGCGCCAACCTTTGAAGAATCGCTCTTCGATGGTGTTGCTTTGTCAACGCTTGCGCCCATCTTGAACTTGACGCCGTTCTTCTCGAGAAGACCACGGAAAATCTTGCCGACTTTCTTGCCCATCACCCTTTCCATTGGCTCTGTTGGATTATTAGCTATTTGTCTAAACACGGTGTGGTGAGACACATTTACCTTCTTCCATGCCAATGATATTGACATTGTTCTTCATACTTGCGAGGCAGTTGCCGACCTCCATACCGATGAAAGAACTGCCCACTACGACGATCTTCTTACCATTGTCGCCAACAGCCTTCAAGATGTTCTGCGCGTCTGGCAGGGTGCGTAGTAGGAATACGTTCCCCAAGTCTCCCTTCAGGCCTTCCAACGGCAGCCACCTTGGGGTACCGCCAGTCGCCAGCACCAGCTTCGAGTACTCGTACGTTTTGCCCGACTTGCTCGAGACCTTCTTGCCCGAGAAGTCAACGCTCTTAGCTTCATCCTCAATGATGTCGATAGATGCGTCCTTGTACCAATCCTTCTGTCTCCACGCTGCCTTGGACACGTCAGCCAACAAAGCCTTGGACAGTTTGGTTCGGTCAATGGGCTGGTAGCCTTCTTTCGAGATGACCGTAATCTTGCCCTGGTAGCCCCCGCCTCGGAGGCCCTCGACGGCGCCAAGGGTACCGGAACCACTATACTCTGTTAATCACCATCACAGCTAACCACCATTTGCAACATACCCTCCAATGACCAGGATGTGTTCGTTGCTCACTGGCGAGCACTTGACGTTCAAGGTTCTTCGGTTGGCCTTCAGTGTGTCCTCGTCGGTCCTGATGTATACGGCGCCATCCTTCTCGAACACGTCGTACTTGGAAATCGGATCAAGGGCTGGTGCGTCTTCAACATCCCCGGTTGAGACTTTGAAGCAAGCTGTGCAATGTTAGACTCGAGGCTCCTAGAGGGAGAGAAGTGGACCTACCGCCGTGCCAAGGGCATGTCAATCGACCGTCAGGTGTAAGTATGCCTTTCGCCAGTGGTGCTCCGTAATGCGTGCAGTTTGCTGATGTCGCATGTACCCGGTCTTGCGTCTTCAACAAAAGTACCTTGCCACCCTCAACACCCTCCACCTCGACTTCTTTCTTTTCCCCGTTCTTTAGATTCAAGGACGTCACGCCCTTGAGCTTAAACTCTTGGGCCATGGTTGCGTGTGTTGACGTGAATGTAGCTCTTTGTAAGCTACTTGTGGGACTAAATTGAAGCTTCAGCGAGGTTCGTAGAGGTCGAAAAGCGCGCAAGGATTGCATCAAAGCGTAGGACTGGGGAATGTGGATGAGTGTCGGTAGATGGCTTCACTGTACTTCACGATTGTTGCCAGCAAATGGAATGAGCGGGGTTGCGACTGCCGTCACTTTGCTATGCAAGCACGCTGATTTGCTGGAATCATGCATGACGACATGATCATGATTGGAAACGCGAAGAAACGCGTCTTGCCCTGCCTATCGATAACAGCTCTGACGTGTGTCTCCCTCACTCGGTATCCGCCAACTCCCGAATGATCTGTCCGCATCGCTCGCGCCGTATTGTCTAACCGCCTACCCGAGTGCTGTAAGTGGTGCTCAGCTCTACCTGTCCCTAAAAACGATGGAGCTTGCGCGCATTTGACTGGTTTAGAGATTCCATGCGTTCCCTTGTCAGCGACCTCAGGAGGCCGGCCAGGTAGACGTGTCTTCCTTCTCCGAGCTTACCATCGTCTTTTGCTATCCGCGCACTGGCGCACCTGGAGAACAATACCAGACGATTGGAACTCTATACCAGGAGCGAGAGGCTGCACTCCACAGGCTTGCAGCTTTCGCAATGAAATGGCCGAGCTACGCAGACTAGGTGTGAAGAACGTGTTCGGAGTGTCGACTCAAGATGCTTCGTATCAAGCAGAGGCTAAAGAGCGGTTGCACCTTCCCTACCAATTACTTTCAGATGGGAGACTGGAATTTGCAAAAGCGCTGAAGCTACCAACCCTTGAATGGAAAAACAAGACGCTGATCAAACGACTTGCTTTGGCTACCCAAAACGGCACGATTGTCAAGGTTTGGTACCCGGTCTTCCCTCCTGACACAAACGCGAGGGACGTGGTCGATTGGCTGGCGATGAAAAATTAGAGTACGCAGGTACCATTTCGTTCACCTGAAACAACCTTGTGGGCTCAGGAGTCAGGAACGAACCCTGGACCTCATGACTCGTCATCTACAGTACTCCACAACACCGTGCCCGGGTATGCTACTATGCGACCAAGAGTATCGCAACGTTGCGAAACCGTCAGATATCAAAACATCTCCAACTGTGCAGCTTTACAGCCTTTTCTGTACATCTCAATCGCTCTACTATTGCTTTTGATGCATGGGCGGCGCTGTCATTCTGTCTGGGGAAACTAATGCTTTTGCCGGGTTGGCGCGGTGTGACATTGGCTTACACGCTAAGGATCGTCAAACTGCCAGCCGAACGCGGATCGACTTGTACATCTCAATAAATTTTAGGCCTTTTTGCCGGTCCTACAAGTTGAGATCAACACCCCTCGCCTTGCATCATGCTGTCGCGAGGACTCCTTCTTCTGAGGTTTTTTTGCCCGCCGCCAGCCCAAGATGCTGCCCTCTTGAACGATTCGAGTTTCATTAACACCTTTATACTATACACCGGCTACACCCATTAGGCTTCTAAATTGTTGCGCGGCTTGCGATACGCGACCATTGCTATTGACGCGAATACCCGTTTGCCTCAATACATCTTATACTTCTACCACCGAATTTAATCATAATGTCTATCACTTCTACTACCACTCGACGGCGAGAAACCACGGTGCCTACCACGTTACGCACAGAGCCAACAGCCCTACGCGTAGACACCGCTCTACCCACCAGTCTTACATTAGAGTTCGCTCTCCTCGACCTCGACTCGGTTGCACCTACCCCAAGCGCGACCGCTACAAACGTATCGATCCACCCAAACACCACAAGCCGGGTTGGCGGTTCTGTCGAGACATGTTCTGCCGACAATGATTGCTCAATAGGCAAGACATGCACTGGTGGGAAATGTGTTGGCGTCCATGATGCTGCTCCACTTGGAGGATCAGGTACAGAGCCAACTTCACACTTGAACACAGCGTCAGCTATTGGGATTGGCGTGGGAGTAGTGGCTTTGATCGCGCTACTGATTGGAATTGGCTTTTGGTTCTGGAGGATTAGAGGAAGACGGCAGCCCGACAAATCGATAGAATCCCCTTCGTCGAATCGTGACAAGTCCCCTCCGAAGGCGACACGGTGGACGGTTGACAACGATCAGAAAACGCTAGTGGCTTCATTGCCGAATAGCCCGTACAATGCAGGATTCCATCAACAGCAGAAAATGACCCCCGAAGGGTTCGCAAAAGCTTTGGACCATATGGGTGAAGCAAGGTCAATATCAACGGAGAAGGCACTTCCACGTCCACCGCCGACCGAGAATCCTCTCCCATCTGCACCCTCAATATCGGCCAATCTGCAGAGACCAGCGTCGAGCAAGTGGAGCTCGGAGTACGAACTTGAACGGTTTTCGAATCTGAGAAACTCGTCAACCCCTCAGGATCCAAGAGTAACCACGATTTCGGAGCTCGAGCGCAAATCGGCATTACTCTCATTACCTGACCTTCCACCGCCAAGCCCAAGCCCAAGTTCTCGTTCCTACGGCTGGTATCAAGATATCATAGGAGAACAGCAAAATGCTGAGCCTCCAAGGTCCATTTTGCCCAACGGCAACTCCGCGCGGATACCTACTCAAGCAAAATTCTCAGTCTCGTCATCCCTTTCTCCGAAAATCCTAGAGGGGGACCCTACTCTTGTACCCGAACCTTTATCCCCAGCTGTACCTCCATCTCTTGCTACACTCCGCCCAAAGCCAGTCACAGCAATACCTTCGAGCCCTACGAACACAAATCTCCGGTTATCACCAACTACTTACCAAATGTCATCGCAATCGCCAGTGCCGCCAAACCTACCGGCACCACCACCACCACCAAAGACAACCAGTGTATCTATGCTAAGCACAATGACACCAATAAATTACTCTCCTCTTTCCTGAGATATCACCAAGATCACCGACCAACTTCTTAGGATGTTGCGTTGTTTTTCGATGCTTGCAAGCTTGACCAAGTCTCCTCAAGGGCTTTCCACTTGCCCAATTTCAAGCACAGAGTTCTTTGGAGTCGTCAAACATGCTAGACACATCCACTGCCATCGCAGCGCACAAATCGCGGCACGATGTGACGTTGTGATCAACCTTCCTTGACTGCGTGTATTAAAATCCATCTAAGCATTCTCATCCTCAAGATACAAACGGTTGCGTTCCGACTTCCAACCAATGATTGTATTTCTTTGCATGTGGGTCCAGGCTAAAACAGAGACGACCGAGTCTTGCATGTGCTACCATCCGACTATGGAGCGATCCATGAACGAGAGAGGGAAGATGCCACGAAGCAGCCAACTATGTGGATGTAATCATAAGCTGTAATAGTACAAATAGGTCATATGAAATATGAAGCAAAGAAGCTCGAGTGCTTTCCTAGATCCTGATCGTGTAATGGGTTCAAGCTCGGTAAGCTGTCCGAAATCACGGCGCAGACCAAAAACGCCTCATTGCGGGGAGATGGTTGATATCGCAAATCCACCATTTTGAACATGCAGCTACGGACCGTTGAGCTGCAGCATCAGAAGGCGCAGCTACAATTGTTAGCGGTCCGACCGGGCACTTTCCTCTCTTAGTTACCCAGATAAACAAGGCATGCGCGTGTGATAGCGCTGATGGGGTGTGCATGGAAGAATAACAGGGGGGCTGTTGGAAAAACACGATGTTGCCAGCGGTCACAGTCTGGAAACGCCCAATTGGTCCCTCGATGTTGTACCTTTATAATCTTGCGGTCGTCCTGCTATTCTTCCTTGTACGGCGCATCGATCATATCATAGCAAGTGACCCTCTACTACTTTCTATGTGATAGGCCATGTTAAGCTTCGAGGGCGGAAGCTTTGCAACCTTGAAATATACCCACGCCTTGTACACTACTGCTCTCCACGGGCACCGATTCGCTGAATGTCGGAACGACGCCAACGGAACTTCCCCGCGTGGACTCGCTTATGCGCCATTTCTCGTCCATGTGCTGAACCATCGTCATTCCGGCTTGTCGCTTTTTGCTATTGCGGGGAAATCTTGAGATGGTTCCGCGCAACTTGCTGCATTTGGAGTCGACGGCGGGCCGCCGGATGGGTATAACTTGCTACTCGTGTCCGCCATAAAGTAAGACTTCGCAACCACGAGTCTCATTCGCAGTCGATTCCGGGACGAGCAGATAAACGCCATCTGAGCAACAATGCCTCGCTCAAGCTATCTCCAAGCTTCTGTACTAGTAATACTATCCTCTTTCTCAGTGTTGACGAATGCTCAGACACCGACAAGCTCGTCAGCAAGCGGCTGGTCTACTACTCTCAACGGCACGCCGACATCTTTCCGCTCAGTCTTTACTATCCCCGCCTCCGCTGATTCTGGCGCCGAAGTCCTTCCTAATATTCAAGATCCCGAGGCTGTTAACGCTCAAGAAGTTTGCCCTGGCTACAAAGCCTCCGACGTGCAAAAAAATGATAGAGGATTGAGTGCTGTACTGACTCTGGCGGGAGAGCCGTGCAATGTTTACGGTACTGACGTCGAGGCTTTGGGGTTGAGCGTCGAGTATCAGGCAAAGGGACGGTTGGCGGTTAGTGTTGTACCAAAATACCTTGTAAGTTGACCATTGGGAGGAGAGGCGAGGGAAAGGTGTTGACGGAAGCAGAGCGCGAACAATGAGTCGCAATGGATTGTGCCAGAGGATCTTATTCCCAGGCCAAAGCCTGAAGACTCGTATGAGGACTCTGATCTTCATTTTGACTGTGAGTAGCTCCCAAGTAGCGAGCTGGTGGCCTCATGGACCCTTACAACTTCCAAGTGGAAAGGCGTTCACGCTGTTCAAGTTTACTTTCCAATGCTTCGATTGCAACGTTACTAACAAGTATCCTAGGGGGCAATGACCCATCCTTTTGGTTCACCGTGACTCGGCACTCAACCAGCGATGTCATCTTCACGACCAAAGGCGCCCACCTCGTCTACGAAAACCAATTCATCGAGTTCGTAAATACCCTGCCTGAGGACTACAATCTCTATGGCCTCGGAGAGCGTATCCACAGGTTGCGTTTGAACAACAACTTTACTGCCACCATATATGCAGCTGATGTGGGTGATCCCATCGACCGTAACTTATATGGTAGTCATCCATTCTACCTCGAGACACGCTACTTCAATAAAGGTGGCAACAACACAAAACGGGCCCTGAAGCAATCTGAGCTTCATCAACGTAGCTTCGGATACGATGAAAAGCACGGTAGTGGAGGTTCCCCGTATGAATCCTACTCGCACGGCGTGTACTATCGCAACCTACACGGCATGGATATCGTTCTAAAGCCGGAGAATATGACCTGGAGGACGCTAGGAGGGACTATTGACCTTTTCTTCTTTGATGGGCCAACACAACCCGAGGTCACGAAACAATACCAGACGTCCGCCGTCGGGCTTCCTGCCATGCAACAGTATTGGACTTTTGGATACCATCAATGTCGATGGGGCTATCGCAACTGGACGGAGACGAGAGACATTGTTGAGACGATGAGAGCTTTCAACATCCCCATGGGTATGTATGATCCAGCATTTTATATTTACAACGCTTTGAAAATGCAGGGTAACTTGTGAAGCTACTCCAGGGCGTTCAGCCTTTACTGTTTCACTGTAGTCACCCAATATCTTGGATTCGCTAAAATCTCCTTTAGAAACCATCTGGCTTGACATCGATTATATGGACCAGTACCGAGACTTCACTCTCGACCCGGTTACTTTCCCTTCGTCCGGAGTGGCAGACTTCTTCGGATGGCTGCACGAGCACAACCAGCACTTTGTCCCGATTGTTGACGGAGCGATCTACATTCCGAATCTCCAAAATGCCAGTGATTCGTATGACACGTACACACGCGGTAATGAATCTGGTGTCTTCTTAAAGAACCCGGATGGTAGCCAATACATTGGTGCTGTATGGCCAGGCTACACCGTTTTCCCTGATTGGATGTCTACAAACGGGGTGTCTTGGTGGGTTAAGGAGATGTGAGTATTGCCCCCTATGGTTAAAGAAAGACGTGCTGATTATAACAGGGTCGAATGGTACAAGGAGGTCCCATTTAGCGGCTTCTGGGTTGATATGACAGAAGTGTCGTCGTTCTGCATTGGCTCCTGTGGCACCGGCAATGTGTCTCTCAACCCTGTCCACCCACCGTTTGCTCTACCTGGCGAAGTTGGCAATGTGGTCTTTGATTACCCAGAAGGCTTCAACATCTCGAACGCTACTGAAGCCGCTTCAGCATCGTCCGGAGCATCCAGTCAGAATGCTGCGAAAAGCACTGTGCAAGCCAGCTCAACATCTACCAGCTACCTACGCACTACACCAACACCCGGAGCCCGAGATGTCAACTATCCTCCGTACGTTATCGATCATGTTCAGGGGGATTTGGCTGTCCATGCGGTGAGTCCTAACGCGACGCACGCGAATGGTGTGGAGGAGTATGATGTACACAACGTCTGGGGTCACCAGATCATCAACGCTACTTATCAGGGTCTTCTTTCTGTCTTCCCTGGCAAGCGACCTTTCGTCATCGGACGATCTACCTTTGCTGGAAGCGGCAAATGGGCTGGCCACTGGGGTGGTGACAATGCCAGCAAATGGTACGTAACACTCAGATATGAACTGCAGTTGAGACACATGCTGACTTCTTACCTCAATATTTAGGTATTACATGTACTTCTCTATCCCTCAGGCGCTTTCTTTCTCACTCTTTGGCATACCCATGTTCGGTGTCGACACGTGCGGTTTCAATGGCAACACCGATATGGAACTCTGCTCCCGCTGGATGCAACTTTCCGCGTTCTTCCCCTTCTACCGGAACCACAACGTGCTTTCTGCCATCTCACAGGAGCCGTTCCGCTGGGACGCTGTGGCATCCGCGTCGAGGACTGCGATGCATATCCGATACTCTCTGCTTCCGTACATGTATACCCTCTTCCACCAGGCACATACGACAGGATCTACCGTCATGCGCGCCCTAGCTTGGGAGTTTCCCAATGAGCCGCAGCTCGCAGGCGTCGACACCCAGTTTCTGCTTGGCCCTAATATACTCGTCACTCCGGTTCTTGAGCCACATGCTGACACTGTCAATGGTGTCTTCCCCGGTATCATTGATGGTGACGTGTGGTATGATTGGTATTCTGGCGAGCGCGTGCAGGCGGAGGCTGGCGTCAACACTTCTATTTCCGCTCCACTAGGTCATATCCCAGTATTCATCCGCAGCGGCTCCGTCTTACCCACCCAGGAGCCTGGATACACAACAACTGAATCCCGCAAGAACCCATGGGGACTAATCGTCGCACTTTCAAGCGACGGCGCTGCGTCTGGTAGTTTGTACGTGGATGATGGAGAGTCGCTCGAACCCTCTGAGACGCTAGAGGTTTCTTTCGCTGCTCTCAACGGGCAACTAAAGGCCGAGGTCCACGGTGACTACAAAGATACAAATGCTTTAGGCCATGTTACCATCTTAGGCGTTTCTCGTTGCGCTGGAGAGATCAAGCTAAACGGAAACACTATTGAGAAGAGCAAGGTGGACTACAACCAAACTAGCAGTGTATTGAAGCTGTCGGGTTTGAATGACCTGACCAAGGTTGGTGCATGGAAGGGAAGTTGGACCCTGAGCTGGGAGTAGGACATCTGTAGCCATTCTACTGGGGAGGATTGCTGTATTGATAGGACAAACCTAACGCTCTAAACTCCATCTTCCGCACCATCGTATGAATGATGACCTGATGATGCCTCACGAGATGCTGTCCCACCTCTTTCCAAGTTTTGACTTGATCGTACTTTGCAGCACGCGAACAGATGACGTCACAGCAGTAACCCACAGCAACTTTCATCATACAGACCTAAGCAAGCTCTCTGCACCATGGCTATTCCTCACTCCACGCGTCCGTTGATTTCCAACACTGACAAACGTTGGGCCACAACAGTGCAGACGAAATGCCGCCTAAGAAGCTAGAGCAAAGGTCCTCGTCTAAGCCGCCTGCCAAAAGCGACGACCTGCCCGAAGCAGAGCTCAAAGACATCGCCAACCAGAAAGCCTCCCCGGAATCCAAACTCCAAGATGCAGCCGAAAAAGCCGAAGCCGCTCTTGCCGCGCAAAAAACCGCCTCCTCCCTCCGTGCCGCCGCAGACGTAATAAAGGATCCCAAGAAGCGGGAGAAATACCTACAAGATGCGTATAAGAAGGAAACTGAGGCGCACGGCAACAGCAAGAAGGCGCGTATGTTGAGTTCTGGCGCGTTTCAGGGAAGTGTGGGCGGCGGCGGCATAGGAATGGCTGTTGGTGCCGGACTTGGTACGGTGGTTGGCACAGTTGTGGGGACCGTGGCGACAATTCCGACAACAGCTGTGGGAGGATTGGTTGGTGCCGGGGTGGGTGGATTCCATGGGCCATGGATTAACTTGAAGAATGCCGGGAAGGGGGGAGATGGCAAGAAGGAGGATAAAGAAAGTGAAGACAAGAAAGGTGGAGAGCAGAGCGATGGGGTGGAAGAGGGTGAAGCAGAAGCAGAGGAGATTGATGAGGAGGATGCAGTGCCCAATCCAGAAGTTCTCAGACAGGCTGCCGATATGGTCGCTCGGGAGAGAGAGACGGCAGGGCAGAGTGATAGTCCACACGAAAAAGTTGGAGATGTCGACGATGAAGGTGCGAAGAAAGGAAAGAAGAAACCTAGGAAGCTGGAGGTCCGTAGCAAGCAGGCTCCAAGTGCAGGTGGACAGCAGAAGCCTATCGCGGCGTAACGCGCGCGCTTATGTGCTGTTGGTAAAGCTGGTCGAAAGGACGTTTGCGTATCCTCCTCATGTATGGCAAGTGCATTGATTGGCGTTGGGATGTAAGCGTTTAGCCTCATGTCACTTGTTTTAGCATTTTGGCTTATTTTATCTTTCATGAACAGACGCGTTACTTTCCGAGATCCAGTTACATGGGAGAGTATGTTAGACTAGTTGCGGAAGAAATATATCACGAAGAGGGTATATTGGCAGGGGGTGATAACTATTCTTCAAAACTTGACGACGTTGGCGTCTGCTTGTTATACTTGATGACGCGTCCGGCCCGAGCCGCTCGTGTAAACCAAATTTTGTGTTAATTATTTGTATTTTCCCTAACGTATTACACAGGCAAGTTAGTCGCCCGGTCGAGTCAGTTACAATGCCAAGACCCTACTAAAATTAGTAGTCTTTTACTATTAAACGCAATGCCTTAACACAATAATATATAATTTTTTTAAAAAAAAAATTAAATATAGCTTGTAGTTTAAGCTTTAACGTCAGGAAAATTCAACTTAGGTATAGTAGGCTGGGCAGGCCCTAGTAGCTAGCAATCTGCGCAACTAGGATATTTACTATATTTGCTTTACGCTTACTTTTTAGTTTTAGCCTATTATTATATATTTTAGCTAGCGCTATTTAACTATTTTATATAGTTTGCTTATGCTACTTGTATTGCCTATATTGCTAGTATTGCCTATATTACTAGTATTGCTTATATTGCTAGTATTGCCTATATTACTAGTATTACCTGCTTTAATAGTATTGCCTGCTTTAATAAAATTGCAGAAATAGGCAAGCTTGCTTATAGCGCCTAACTATACTATATATTAAGTAAAGGTTATATATGCAAGTTCTGCTTAATAGCTTTTATAGTAGTACGCATTCTACTAAGTTTAAGCATTTATTATAAACTTTTAAGTAGAATTTAGAATTTTGCCTTATTTTATTATTTTCTATAGTCCTATATTGTATACACTAGCTGCAATTATAGTATAATTAATAGGGTATATTAATAGTTATATTACTAAATTACTACTAAAGCAAACTATTATATACTTATGTAAAGCTGTTTTTAGTTGCGTGCTTATTTACCTGCGCTTTATATATATTAGCCTGTTTTTAATACTTAGTTAGTTTTTACTTTTATTTATCTTTTGTAAGCACAACAACTATTATATATAGTTTAGTATAGTACTTTTTTTAGGCTAGTTTAGTAAAAGTATACTAGTTTATATTTATAATAATATTTTATCTACTATTACTATTTTAAAACTAGGCTTAAGTATTATTATTTAGTTTACATATTTGCACAAAACTTGCAGCGCTTATATTATAATTAAAGTTAATTTTAATTATATTACTAGATAAAAGGCGTACTTAAACATATATTTATATAAGTAAACTTAGTTAGTATTATTAATAGTAATTGCATATATAGTACTATACTTCTGTATTTTCTGTATAATATATTTTAACTTAGTTAGAATAAAGTTACTGCTCTTTTTTATATTATTAAACTAATTGTATATAATACTCCCCTTCTTCTAAATTACATGTAGCAATAATGTTGTTAATATTATTATTATATTAATTATTTTTAATAGCTATAGTAAGTTTATTATTATTATTATTATTTGTGTGTATAGCAATCTCTTTGCGCAGTACTTCCTATATAATAAGCTACTTTAATAGATTTAGCTAGTTCTATTTTTAGCGAATAGCATTATAGTTTGCTATATTTTATTAGTTATGCGCTGTGTACTATTTTGTGTATACTTACCTTTTATTATATAATTATAAAATAGTATAGTTTTTCTAGTACTAGCTTTAGCGTACTTATTAATAGCGTAGTATATTATTATACTTACTAGTACTATAGTATTTACGCTTAGTGTCTAGAAGTAGTCTTTTAACTAATTTATAATAGTAAGTCCTTATTTTTTATTTGTGTAGAAAGCTTTAGCAAGCATAGTAGTAATACTAAAGTATATAAACTATAGTAAATTAAGCTACAGGTTTATTATTTTTATTTTATATATTTAAAAAATATACTTGTATCCTTTAAGTCCTTTAGCAGGTAGGTAAAATTATTTAAAAGCTAACTAACTGTTATGCCGCGTTGCTCTAAGTATAGCATTATATATATACTTTTAACTTTATTTTTAGCTTATTGCATTACGTGCGTCTTTAGGTCGCTAACTATATTTAGTATTTATAATAAAGTATAGTTAACTACTATTTTGCTATAATAAACTATAGTACTTACTTATTAAGTAGTACTAGAGCATAGCTGTAAGGGGACTATTTTCTAAACTTATAGTAGTATTATTTTCTTTACTATTATTTACGCATTAAGTACAACTTGTATAAACTAGTTACAGTAAAAGTCTATTTATAAGGTAATATATACCTTATCTATACTTATACTATTGTTTGTTATAATTTAAGTTACTAAAATAATTTTAGCTTTAGCAAGAGTACTTTTATATTTTATTAGTATTTTAACTTTAGCTTAGCGCTTTATGTCTTTTTATAGTATATTCTAAAAAGGATTAAATAGGTGCAATTATATCTACGGCAAAAGCTAAGCTACTATTTTTACTATATAATAGAATTAGCTATGCTTTTTTTTATAATTATATTATAAGTACCTAATATATATTAATATTGCTACAAAGAAACTAGTATAAATATATTTTTTTACGCAGTAGTATTAAATATTTTATATTTACTAACTAGCTTTACTCTATTGCAGTTATAGCTAGTTGCAGGTATAAGTATATAGTTGTCTAGAATTAACAACTGTAAACTAGTTAATGTCTAGCTACTTAAAGCAGCCCCTTAAGTGCGCTATAGAGCTAATAGCATTATAATAGCGTTTAATAGTTTTTTAATATCCTTGTCTAAACTATTACTGTATACTTAAAATAGCGCTAGAGTATATTTTGTTTTTTATAACTACTTAGTATTCTAGCTACTAGATACTATAACTAGAACTAACCTTACTACTCTTAAATTTACTAACAGCTTGTTTTTTTTCTATTATAATATTTCTATTGCGTAACAATAAATAGGTTTTAGTTTCTATACCTATAGTAATTAAATATAATAGTGTAGGAGGCATAGACTACAGAACTATAATAATAAAGTAAACCCTTTAGCATTAGCAGAACTCTAGAAAAAGGGGGGAGCAATAATTTTTAAAAAAATAGCTAGTAGGAGTAAGGGCTAGAGTATACGCGTTCCCTATTAGGTATAGTAAGTAGAATTAATAAATACTGCAGATTTATTAGTAGAAAAATAGTAGTTTATAGTCTACTATTAGTATTAATAGTTATTTACTGTTAGTATTAGTATTATAGTAATATAGGCTGTCTCTATAAACTTAATTACTCTAGGGCACTAGTACTTGTCTGTAATAGTTTGTTAAGTTTATAAAGTACGCATAAAAATAAATAGATTATATACAGTATTATATAAAGCATAATATAGGAATATTATAAACTAGGTTAGTATATACAGTAAGGGGGGCAATTACAAAATAAATAGGCAGTTAAATATATAGTATTTAAATCTATACTAGGGGTTTAATTGCAAAGCTTAGTTTGTTTCTTTCTAAATTAACTACATCTTCTAGTATACTATGCTACTAAGACTTAGTTAATATTTGTATCTATTTCTAATTATTTCTATTTTTTATATAGTAATATATACTGTTATTGTTTTTCTAAAAGCTAACTTCTTTTTTTAGTATTTTTAAGAACAAGATAAAGCTTAGTTTATTAACATCTAGTATGTCTTCCTTAAGGCTAGATTGCAGTAGCTATTTTATTTGTATAAGTATTTAATTAGGGTTATTTATTATATAAAGTATTATAATTAATAATTTATATATATTGTTAGCGCTGCTTAATAGTTTCTTACGCTCTAGCACTATAGGTCTACTGTAGTTTGTGTATAATATAGTAGAGTATTTAATATTAGGCAGCGTATATAGACTTTATATTTTCTAAATATAGATGCGTTGCGTAGTATTATAATTATAGTAGATAGTAATTTAAGTAACTGCGCGAAGCTGCTTATAAACAGGCATCTAGTTAAAAATTAAGTTATAGTTTAATATTATAATACTTGTTATTTATTGTATTTATTTTTTTGCAGATTTTATTTAGAGTAACTAGTATAGTATTCCCTACGACTTTATGCCTCGTTTAACTTAGGCGTATAATATATTATATTTTTATTTTGTAATGCGCAGTTTTTTGCAGAATTAGTTTATTACTAGGCGTACTATATTTCTGCATTTTTGTACTATAGTGCAGGCTTAAGTATTGTCTAGCAGAGTAGAGGGGCTAAGATATTATTATTTGCAGATAGTCCTTAGTATTAAAGTATTACTTATAAGTATAGCAGTGCAGATAATAGCTAGTTTATACTAAAGGGGTTAAGTATACTCCTAGCCCTGTTTACGTGTAGTTAATATAGTAGCAATATAGCAGTATAAAATATTAGTAGCTTAGAAAAACGCAAATAGTAGTACTGCGCCTATATATATAATTATATAATAAATATATAGCTCTAGTGCCCTAAGTATATATTTTGCATTTTATGCTAGTATTTTATAGTATATTCTACAATTTAGCTTAACGCTATCCTTAACGCTGGCGGACTATAAGGCACTATTAGCTATAGTTTATTTTTTAATTTAAAGGGGTTTATAGGGCAGAGAGCTAGTTATTATAATAGTAAACTTAGAAAAAATACTTATCTTAAAGACTTGCGTAGCTAGTACTAGTAACTATAGTAATTAGCTATAGCTAGTTGTAAAGTATTAGTAGGGAGTTAAAAGTATATAATTATAAAAAAGGCTATAAGAGCTTAAATTGCTATCTAACTACTAAAATACTAGCCTCTTTTACTTTTTAGAGGTAGACAGCTGTAGAAGTAAGATATTATTTACTAGGACTATATAGCTTTTTGTTTATACTTGCGCTACTATAAAGAAATACTCTTTAAATTTAAAAAACAAAGTAGCCTTTTTCTAGAATTTATAGTTTAAGCTATTAGACAACAAACTGCCCTAGATTTTTAATATATTAAAGTTTAATGCAGTTTAGCGTATTAAGCTCTTATTAGTATACTATTTTTTTATAAAGCTACTATAGAAGCGCAAGAGCATTTTTTGCCTAATTTAGTTTTTTAATAACTGCAAGAACAC